AGGGGCTTATTTTCGGAATTTTACGGTATTAGTTTACATGATATAATAACCTCTGTTTGTTTTTTAAATTGCCTTAGGCATTGAACAGAAATCCAGATGAATTCTATTTTAAGATGATCAGGAACAAAACAAATGTAAGTACTAGCTCGTTTTTTTATGTTTATTTATTGAAGAATGTCTTTTTTAAGCTCTTGTATGAGACTGGAAAGATTTTAAGTAGTGACAACATTTCATACCAATTCAGAAAAATAGCCATATTTTTAATCTTTTCACTTGTAACATTGGGCAGTAAAAAAATTCAGAAGCATTCTAATTTTTTTGGTAAACTCCTCAGAAAAAGTAGGTGTGAAAGTACTGCTTAAGAGGTTTGATTTGAGTGGTAACAACATAGGATTTTGTCCACAGATTTAAAAGTTATAGGGAGAAATTTTTCCATCATTGCCCGTCACAAGTTTTTTTTTTTTCAACTGTTCAAAGTAAATTCAACTGACATTATAAAATGAATTTCAGGAAAACAATTATGTCTTTAAAGATGTTGTTAAAATAAAACTTTAGAAGCGTTGTTATAATAATTATTGTGTGTATCTCAATTTAAGGATGGAGTACATACCATCAAAAGAAAAAAGAAGCACACTGCTGATGCACTAAAACTGATGAAAACTCAAGATCTTAATTACATCAACTCCAAAAGGTCCATGGAGGCAAAGGTAACTCATATAGTTTTTATCAGTGGTGTACTTAGAAAAGAAGATCAAGAGGCCTGTGTTGCCCAATGAACTAAATATATACAATCCTTTTCATTCTCAACTTTTCTTGCCCTTTTTGCCTTTATTTTCTACCCTTACTTCATAGAATGTTTGTTTTACAGAAGATGTCAACCCAACTTTTGGCCTCATACTTCTCCAAAACACAGCAAAACCTAGCCTGTGTCACAGACAAAACTAAACCTCGATAAGTAAAGTCTACTGCTACAAAACAGCACTGAAATCCATGTTCTCAGCTCCCACCTGTGTACCAGGATTTGAGTACTCACCATTATTGGCTTGTTGAAAATGCCATTGTTGATTTGCCAATCAGGCAGATTTCATCTGAGATACAAAAGCAAAACCCAGAGAAAACTCAGCTTCAGAATCAGCATTTTCCCCTTAAAAAATTTCATATTTGGTTTGTTTTTCCAAAAGTTATGTGAATAACTATTCAATCAATAGGAAAGTGTTCTACCTAAGTGGTTTATTACTTCTTTTTTTTTTTTTTTCTTAAACCATTTGTGATTTCTTTTGTGAGTGATATAAACCTTTGGGACTGTTAATTATTTAGATGTGGTGCAAAGGGTAATGCAGGGTCAATGATTTTGCTCTTGTAAAACATTAAGAAAGGGATGTGTGAGAGGGGGGTAGGGGGTCAGCTCAAAATTTGTCCTTCAAAAAGGTGAGAGTTGGGAAAATTTGTACATTTGAATCTGTGCCTTGCTCCATTTGCACAAGCAGTGAGAGAAGTTTCATGACTGTCCAGAGAATATTACAGAAAAAGAATAATGGTCTTTTATCTCTTCGATGTTAGGTCGGAAGTAAACAATCCTCTTTTCCTACTAAGAGTCGGATGTTTGGTCGTATATCTTTTTGTAGACACTAAGAAAGAAGGTAAACACCAAAGTTGACCTCTGAAGTTTAAGCTAAAAGGTTCTTGCTGGGGTGTTTGGCTAAAATGCAATACAGTCAGCTCTCTCTAAGGTGTCACCTTTAGGACTCGCAGTAATTGTCTGCTTTTTAGAGACTTAAAGGGAATAAAGAAAGGTAGGGACCAAGGTGTCCATCTTATAGAAGTGTTCATCAAGATGGAGTCTACAGTAGGGGTCTTAGTTTTAGTCAACAAGACTGAAAATTGAAGTTTTCCTTTTTAGAAGTGTAATGTCCTCTTAAAATTTTGTAATTTCAGAAAATGTAACATACTTAAATATCATTTTAATTAAGATTTTTTTCATTACTGAAGAGAATAATGCTTCATCTGCTGTTTAAGGCTTTTCTTACTGCCTGCAGTCATTGATCTGCTGTACAGTAGACAAAACTCTATCTTGCTGTGGACAACGCTCTGCTTGTGCACTGTTTTTTCTCTGTTTCTGCAGTTCTGTCCTCCCCAATCAGGCTGGTTTAATGAATTTGGAAGGGTTAAAAGTGTATTCATGTTTTCTTTAAACACGTAGTTCACTTGTTTTTGTTTTAGCTCAATCATTCAGCGCTGCAACATACTTTGACACCGTACCCGAACTAGTTTCAAGAACATACAACAGACCCAAAAAGGAAACACTCAAGAATCATTTAATTCAAGTGCCAGATGATCACATTGTCCAGGTATTCAAACACGGAACAAAAATTAATGATCCATGAATTAAGGCATGCTTACAATGAAAAGTAGAGTTGTTGTATCTGAAAAAACTCCAAACAAAAGCAGATGCTAACAAAAATAGACTATAACTTTTATTGTGATAATATGCACATACAAATTCTCCAAACTGGTCTCTATATATTTCTGTAAAGAGTAAGTTGAGAGAATTTGATAAAAGATCAAAGCATTTCCCCTCAGGTGATTATTTTATTAATTCTTACAATCTATTCTCTTGATTGTGTATTGTTATTGTTCGGAGAAAATTGATGTTTGTCACTCTTGGGACTTTTAACCCTTTCACTGCCAAATGTGGCCAAAGGCAGATTTCGACCAAATTTCATTCCTAAAATTTTGAGAAATAATTAGTATCATGTGAAAGTACAAGCAGAGAGCTTTAATTTGAATGGTCACATCATAGGATTTCGTCCACAGACTCAAAAGGTAGAGTCACCTTACAAAACTCCATCAAGCGCTCTGGCAGTGAAAGGGTTAAGGCTTGAAACTAGGACAAGTCGACTCCCTTTCCCCTTGAAACGTGAGCAACACAACGAGGAGACCGCACTGGACTTCACGAAAGTGGATTTTAAAAGGGACAAGATTTCCCATCTTACGTTTACCAGTACTACATTTTACCGGTTGTGGGCTTAGTGCCTGAGGCTTCGTGTGAATGCGAGGCTGAGGTTGACCTTGTTTTGATACAAACCTCTTTTGTTTTCTTATTGGAATTATGCTTGAAAAATACTAGTTAGCATACGAACAACGTGATTTAGATTTTACATAATAAAGCAGCAAGGGTCGTATCAAAACAAGCTCAACTCCAGCCTCGTTTCCAATGGCCTATTTTCTTGGTGTTGGGCTCAGATAAGGGTTTACTTTGGATTAGCAGAGTAGTTACCATAATTGCTCGTTACCTACTTGTTTTCCTTTTCTTTTAACAGTGATTTCTAATTTCAGAAACTTGAAAAGCAGAGACGCCGTTGCTACGATGAATTAAGAGGGAGAATCGAGCGAGAAAAGAAAATCAGAAAGATTTCAGAAGAGCTAGAGCTTCAAAAAAATCTCATGGTATGCAATACTGTTGAGGGGTAACACAAGAATGGGGCGGGGAAGGTCGTCTGAAAATTCGAATTTAACTCCTAAAAGCGTGGAAGCGCCAGATGACGCGCTTATATTTTCGCGTGCCTTTCACTTACACGTGGGAGCCAGAAACAGGCTACCCTATCATTATAATATCTTTCTGTACCATGATAGTTGCTTTGAGTTTAATAATTCTTAGTGAGTAGTTATATCTCTTTTAGTATTATATTTTTTACAATAACTGAGCGAATCCTCGCGTGCTGATTGGTCGAGAGCTATGGTCTATGAGAGTATAGATCATGAAAATGACGTAACATGTCACGCAATGCCGGTTGTTTTATTTTTGGTCTTTCGTGAAAAAAAATGTAATTGTAGAAAACAAATCGATCATAACTCATTGGGCTATTACGTCACCTTCGTTAAATAAAGAATATTGTATTGCATGGTTTACACTCTTATCATCGTCATCATCATCATCATCATCATCATCAAGTCTCAACGCGTCAGTAGGCGCATAAGACCTCAACTTTGCAGTGAGTTTTGAATATTTTATGGCGTCATTTCTATGGTCTATAAGAGTGTAGGCCATGAAAAATTGTTAAGTAATCGTTGTCAACGTTGTTCTTCTAGGGAAAAGGACGACGGGTAAAGATACAGAAAGACGAGAAGTCGGCGCCAATATACAGATGGAAAAAAGAAAGAAAAAGATGACAGAATTTAACACGACTATCACTGTTATTTGACCTAAAATAAAGTTAGTGAAGTTAGTAACCTTGTTTTTAATGTGCTGAAATTTTGAATGCTTTTCTGATATGAAAATTTTCTTGAGAGCAAAAACGGGTGAGGGACGGATAAAATGTCTTCTGTGTTCACACAAATCCTGAATAAATTTGCAAGTGCATCGCTTTGAGAGAAATCACATGTTTATCATTGCGTCTGCGTTTTTTGGAAGGTTCCCTTTTGAAAAATCAACTTTTTCTGTCCACGCCAAAACACCAAAAAAATGTCCACTTTGAAGAGAGTTTTCCGGTGTAGAGTTTATCCCGATTAATTATTAGCCTCACTAGTGTGGACGGTAAGCCTAAACTCTAAGCTAAAAGGGTAACTTTTATTTTCTTCTGTAGTTTACTCCCGTTCGATCTGTGTTCAGTCATGCTTTTGACTTTTTTCACTTCTTTCAGAGATGAATCATCAATAAGAGCGAAAACCAATTCTGCGTGATTGACTCTTCAACTTTTTGAGCTCTTCGAAAATGAATGCTGTTTCTTTATGATTGTCTTTTTGGTCAATAGGAACTTCCAAAAGTCATTGAAATATAGTTCTGTAGCCTCAAGCATCAGTCAACTGCCAGTGAGCAAATCACGAGAAGCGAAAGCGGGGTCACTCGTAGGCCGCGAGCAGGCTTAATTGTGCGGCCAGATGCCGTTGAGAGTGGAATGGAACCTGTGCATCTCCTCTCGGGCGGAGTGAGGTGGGGCGGGGGGGAGGGGCTGGGGAGAGGATAGTAAAGGATAGTTTGAGAATGTGCAAACAAATGAAGCCTAGTCTGCCGCAGAAGGGGAGTTACCGTCCAGCACTCCACGTCCACCAACGCTTGCCTTCGTTGTCCTGAAAAACGCGAAAAAAATAGCGTCTGTTCTCCAGGCTATGAAATACAGCCTTAAATTCGGGAGAGCATTAATTAAGCACGCTGATTCGCGGCATATCTGCAACGTAGATTCCTGCAAAGTCAAAGTCAGATCAGGTTCAAATGTCTCCGTCCAAAAGTCATTATGTATCATTTTCATTATAATACTTAAGTACAGTTCCCTCAAAACAAGAGGAAATCAGAATTTTGCTCTATTAGCAGCTTTAAGTTACTCAGCGTTCAATAACTTTCCTTTCCCGAAATTTTTAAATGTCAGTTTGAAAAACATGCCTCTACAGAGTGTTAAGGGGCTACCCACACTTGGAGCCCGGGAACCAATGCCTGGGCACCAGCAAAATTAACGGTGTTGTGTTAACATCTTGAGTACCCGATATTTTGACTGTGTACATAGTTACTCCATTTCGTCCTGTCAGACGCCATTTTAAAACATAAGCTTAGCGGCGAGTATAAAGCAATGGACTGCCCCGTAACTGACAAAAACGGTGTGAACACAGGAACCAGGTTCCCACTTTTGCGCTCGAGTACAAGGTGGATACCGGCACCGCGCGAGCCAAACTCTCCAGTAGGTACTCAAAAAAGGGTGTGTTCCCATTAGTGCCCAGCAAGTACCTTTCTCGGGCACCGTGTCCGGACACCAAGTGTGAACGCTACCTAAGGGTCAGAGTCAAGAACAGAGGCAAATATAAATTACTTTATTTTAGTTATTGGAACAACTCGGAATTACACACTATACAAACACAACATTTGGTCTTCGATGATGATCCCCCCAAAACTCCACGATTTTAAGTCCAAACTTGTGTAGGCCACGGCTTAGCCCTGCGATAACCACGTTCTTTCTTCTCCTGTCCACGAGAACTTTTTCCCTGTTCGACAGCGATTTTTCTTTCTGCTTTTCTTGCGCTGGAGTCTACACCACTCGTACACCGCCATCTTGGCGTGCTTGTTTGACACGTTTTGGTGTGTTCAACTTTGGCAAAGAATTGGTCCATCTTTTGTCTGGTCTCGTTTTCGATTTCTTCCTGAAACAAAATTAACGATCACCCACTTAATCGTACATGTTTGATACAGCTTGATGGCAAAACACATAATTTGCAAACTAGATCGTTTCGGTGTCAATAGCCGGCTCTTCACAGACTTTTGTGAGGGTCTGTGAACAGATCACGCGGTGTCAATACTATCTTTGATAAATATGGAATCAGTCAAAATCCGAACGCGTTAGGGTCAAACAACTGCTTGCCGTTTTTTTGGCTTTTTACTTTGTTTGGGGTTTGCTTGTTTAATACAGATCCCGCTTCTAGAGTCCATTCAGGGAAAAAGATTTGAACCTAATATAACCACTGGCTCATTGATAATTTGAAGGCACCTTTAGATTATTCAAATCTAGAAAGATTATTTCAGCCAATTAAGAGATGTAAACAGTGTCACATGAACTTTGCGGGATCTTCATCTCCCATGTTTACCTTAGCATGAGAAAACTGCCGCCATTTCGGGAAGCCCCACTACTGGTTTTCCCGCGAAATGACGGGCGCTTTCCATTTACCAAGAAATTCCGGAGATTCCGGTTGGGATGTATTCTAAATGGAACATACTCTTTTCGAGCGTTCCACTGGAAAATGCCCGGGAATAACTGGAAAATTGAAAAGGTAGTCCTGTTTTCCCGTTGGAAACTTTTCCGATAGAAATGTATGTTCCATTTACGAATTTTGGAAAGGAATCACCAGTTCCAGGCTATTTAAGGTGATTCCCTGGTTTTGCACTGCGCATCTCTTACTGCGCATAACAAGATGGCCTCCGTAAAAAAGAGCATGTGAAGTAACATTATTAAAATGAAGTTGACCGAAGAGAAACGCTATTGCAATTTATTGCAATTTTTGCTTGCGGTTGTTTCTTGCCGAGGTGAGACTCAATGTGGTGGGAATGTGCATAACGTAAGCAGTACGCGTGTTGCGGAGTTCGACTTCCTCACGGAGAACCTCGATAGTGGATGTTTAATTTATCACATTGTGTCCTAAATGTGATATCTCAATGTAACTTCTGTAAAAACGGATTTTATTAATACTTTCTTCGCCCTTTCTCATACATTCTATTTTAAAACTCGCCCCAGTCCTCTCTCAAAAAATCAAGGAGAATGCATTTGGTGCGCACTTTCTGCAGCTCTACCGCGAAAACGAGTACGGTGACCCCCATTTTTTATTTCATGATTTTAATAAGGACAGTGCTTCCTTTCGGTGAGAAAAAAATTGGCACAAATCTATGCTCAGTTTTTTGACAATTTTACTAAATTGTACGGATTGAGCTATCACGTGTAGAATAGCGCGTGTCCAATCTAATTCTACTTTGGAGTGTAAAGTAAAAACAAGGGCATTAAAAGGCATTTTTCTGGTACGTAAGTGGATAAACAATACATTAAAGTCAAATTCTATGCGATACCACATGCATCATTGAAAAAATCTTTCCTTTTTGTCTAGTTTTGCGCTGCGCGCGGTTTTTGTCAAAGGGTCCAAAATAGCCGTATTTGTCAGCATTGTGACGTCAAAACAAGCACGGTGACCCCCACTTTTTATTACCTTTTTATCATCTTCTTGACTTGTTACATTAGTGTACCAAGTTTCATCTACAATCTATGTTAGGTTCTTTTACTAGGGAATCACCTTAAGGCGATATCTGTGCCACCAGCTTAAATCCTGGTAATGAGAGCATAAAAGAATGGAACTTCACGTTCTTCACTCGATGGACCTTTCCATGGAAGTTTCCCAAAGTTTTTAATAGGCTGATTTAGCAACACAACGGGAACGTCAGTTGACGACGGCGCGCGCAAATCAAACAACTGGCTTGACCAATGGCAGAGCGGCAAATTGAGCACCGGAAGTCGTGTTTAGTCCCTTCCGCGCGCTTTCCCGCCGTGGAAAGCGCGAGACGTCTCAGGAACAAGCGAAAAAAACTCCATACTGATTACGTGTCATTAGCAGCGGAGTGCTTGTGATTGGTCGTGCCACGTGGGAAATTTGCCTCAATCAATCAAAAGCACTACCCAGATCTGGGTAGTGACACATCATCACTAAGAAATTTCTGCGCTCGCTCCCCAGACGTCACCTCACGGGGAAACCAGTGGGGTGTTGTGAAATGTTGGCTGTTTTCTAAGGCTAGCCTTACCTTTGATATTCCTTTTTGAGGAAACTGCAGACCATCAAATTGAAACAGTTTCACGCCTAAACTTCGTGTCCTGTTCAATTTCTCCTTGCCTCTGCTTTTTTCAACACAATTTTCTTTTTTACTTTTCCTTTTCGATATCTTGCGCCGTTCCTTAAAATGCACAAACCTGCAACTTTCTGGTGTTTTTACTTCCAGACTACTTTCAGTCAAACGGCTAGGGTAATCCGAGCTAAGAATCGGCGATCCGCTCTCGAGCTTTGTGTTAGTACCTAGGGAAGTTGAACGGTCATCAAGCTTTGAATGGATCCCTTCGCACAACTGTCTCCTGGTTGTCTGGTTTTCTAGCTCAGTCTTGTGGTTTTTAATTATAAGATCTCCCGAAGTCGAATTAAGATTCTGCGCAGATCTGCCCCAAAGGGTGACGGTTTCTTCAGAGCTTATACCCATCTCACTAGCCGAAGATTCTTTTGGTGAATCACTGGAACAAAATCCTTCAGTACCAGCTATTTTTGATATAACTACCGGTGTATTACAGTTTATGTTTCCTTCACTTTCGCCATGTCCTGATTGAAAGACCTCACAACTGCTCTTGGATCTGCTCGCTTCTTTGGCTAACTTCAAACTTTTTTCGCAATCTGTAAGGAGTGATTCTTGGCCCTCGCCAGCTGTTTGAGCTTTCTTTGTACGTCCATGTTTTACATTAGATGTACAGCAATCTCTACCAGACTCTGTTTTTTCTTGAATCCTCTCTGTTCTCTTTCCTAACAACGTACCATTCTCAAACTCGCCGCATAATATTTCTAGCAGAGTCAGACCGGCTGGTTTGGTTTTCTTCTTGGGATCCTTGTTCCTCTGTCCTTTGTTTCTGGTTCGCTCTTGATAGCGTCTTTGAATGTTCTTATTCATCTCATTGCAGTTCTGTATTGATTTTGATGGTGTTTGAATCTGGCGATCGGTGAGGGGTTTATTTGTGTTGCTGGTTTTGTTGTCTTCGTCCGCATCACCTGGTAAAGAAATACCGAAGAGTGTTAAATTAGAAAAACGAGTCAGATATCCAGCTTACTTTGTCTCCAGGAGCTTTGATTTAGCCTGAAAAGAAACAGCGCCGGAATGAAGGAAAGGGGACAAAATTCGCCTGTGCAAAGTATGTTTATCAGCTCACTCCGGGCTTCTCCAATCAAAAGGGAGGAGCCCCGGCGGGACAAGAATCCGGGTTGGTCTTTCTGCGCGCGCGCAATTTATCGTCTAACTTTGAGTCGTTTCCCACAAGTTTTCGTTTCTTGTCATTTCTTGTCATGCTCGTAAGGTGTGACAATTAGTAGAAATTGATTTCTCTCAAATATGCGAAGTTTTTCAATGCCTACGCACGTAGCAACTTGAACAATTAAGATGTTCCCAACGACACGACAGTGTAGCAAGGTGCATCAGCAAACGAGAAATTCATCATGAGTAAGGGGGAGTCTTTTGCTCGAAAATCTTTTCTCGCAGTCTAGGTAAGGAGAGGCCCAGAATGTGTCTACTTGCTCTAAACAAAACATTTTAATTGAGGGAAACTTTTGCAAGGACTTACGCTTTTGGTGGGTATGACGGAAAACAGCATATTAAAGCGGGAAACAATTTTATAACCGCTCTCACGCTTATGCAATCCAAAAAGTTATTAACCAACCTTCTATGTTAATATGCGTTAAGGAACCCGTTTCTCTCTTATCTCCATTCGCATGGAATATCTCCCCGTATTGACTCCAACACTCTTCTTGACATTTCACAGGTGGTTTTATGGACATTTTGAACACGTGCGTTTCTTCCCGCAGTCGATCAAGACATTGTTTCTTTTCCTTTTCCAGACTTTTCATAAAAACTTGATGCCTGTAATCCTCTAGTGAAAACCCTTTGAAAAATCTCTCCGTAGAACTTTCCATATCCAACAGGTTTCCTTTAAAACTAAGAGCACATAACCGTAGAGAGCTCGAATCTTGACGATGTTTGTTGTGGTGACGCCATAGTCAGCATTTGTGACGTAGTTACTGCGCGCATACAGCTAGACTGCACGCGCAGATAACATTGCGCTCCACCCAGAAATTTGAGCGGATTAACCAGTCTTTCATTTGCCTTGGTTTAGCATAGCTGTTAAAGACGGACCTCGGAGCGGGGCGAGTTGTAAAAATGGTTCTCCGCAGAATTTAGCGTACGGAGTTTTTATTTCTGGGGCATATTAAAGAGTTGAAAAAAATTTTTCATTTTCTTCCATACACTGGCAGTTCTTCTTTTGTAACGCGTCCAAGACTGACGTAAGATTTATCATCAGTATAATTTTTATTGTCTCATTTCTCAGACATCTCTGCACACCTCTCCCACGCACCATGGATATCCATACACGCACCGATACTCTATTCTCTAGAATACGCGTCATTTTTCCTAACCCGAGATTGCGTAAAAGAATTCAACGCTTTGGGTCTGATCTCAGGTTATATTTGTTCGGGCTTTTTCAGGGGAGCGAGGGGAGTGTCTTGAGCTCCATGCTTGCTTCCCGCTTGCCTTCCGCGCTTGCTCCTTTCTTTAACCAGTTTTATAAGTTTCTCTCTCAAAAGGCATTACTAGATGGCACTAAGAGGCTTTGTAGCGGTACGTGAAGGGCTTGTATTGAACTCATTCATCTTAAATTTAAAATTTGAATACATTAAATACTCTCTCCCCATGTGGGGCTTTTCAGGGATAATGACACAAATAATTCGAATGGAAAATTACATGGTGAACAAACATAGCTGATAGGAGGCGACCCAAGATGGCTATTTTACAATCGTGGCTGAGGGACTAGCGAGAAAAAAATCAAGCTAGTGGTCAGGGCTGGACTTGTAATTGGGGCCTCGCGCTTTAAAGTCCGTCACTCTAAGCGACCGACCACGCTGCCTCGCAAGTACACTTCTCATGTACCTGTGTCTGAGAAGAAATGGATGAAGAATGCCTTCATAGGAAGCTAGGTTAGAGCTGAGGTTGATCACAAGCCATTTTGTGCGCCATCGTTCCTTTGCACACTCGTTGTGTGTTGGAGGATACAAAATGAACTCCCTCAATGGCTGAAAAAAGAGCCTGGAGCGAGGCTGTGCTCTAGAAAACACTGAAAGGGGCTCAGAGGCCTGAACCTGAGAAATACAAGGTCCCCAGCCTAGGATTGTTATCTAAAAATACTAAGATTTTTTAAAATCAAAGTAGTACCAGGGTCACAAAGCAATGTTAAAGCACAGCATTGCTAGGCTAAAGGTTTTTACGCAAGGAAAACAACACAAGTCAGGAGATACTGTGATTCTGAACATTTTAATACTGGTCCTTCTGTATCTCATTTACATGGAGCTCATTTTGGCCTTCTCTTGCAGCCTTCTGTCTCGCTCCTCAGCAATAGTGAGCCTGATTCCTTTACCCCTGGGTAGGGACACGTGAGGCTTGTTTGTCTTGCCAATGATGAACACATTGCTGATTCGAGTGGCAAATGAATGACCTGTGTTGTCCTTCACATGGACAATGTCAAATGAACCTACAAAACACATGATTAGAGTTGAGTATTTTGCCAGCACTGACAACTATTGGCATGCCAAGAAACAATAGGGCCATTTATACGAGGAAAAATAAGACGCGTCTTACATAAGACGCGTTTTAAATAAGACGCGAACTAAGGCATATTTGCCGTGTAAAGCAGATTTTATTCTGCGCCGAATCGATTCTGCGCAGAATAATCTATTCTGTACGAGCATATTTACCATGTCAAGCGCAGAATAAAAAGGAGCTATAAATGGCCCTAATATTTTCATCAACAAGGTTGAAGCTTGTGAGATCTAAATGCATGAAGGAAAGAGACGTAAAAATAATTTTGTACATACTTTTAACTAAAAATATCTGCCTGGGTATGTCAAACAAAATTTTCACTGTGCCAGTGGTCAGATATGATGTCCAGAAGAAAAGAAACTAATGCATAGAGGATATCACATGGCCGCGTGGAGATACGAAATTTCCCTGCGAGTGTTGAAAAATATTTCACGAGTGAGCCCAGCGAACAAGTGAAATATTTTTCAACAAGAGAAGAGAAATTTCATATCTCCAAGCGGCCATGTAATATTCTATTTATTATATAAACACCAACGAAATACCAAACCTTTTCACTTTAATAGTTTTTTTGGTGTGAAAGGCGCGATTTATTATGTAGCCATAGCAATGGTGATATTTTCACATGTGAAGATAACTCACATTCTCTTTTTTATAATGCATTATTTTTTTTGGTTAAAATTGCTCTTCCCTTATTCTCAAGCTGTTCAGCTACAGTGAAAACGCGTGATTAAGAATCTGCTGTTTTAAGAACCTATAACACTAAAATTTGCCAGTTAAGCCCCCTCTACACAAGAACCTGTTTGGTCTAAAATTTAAAACAGGTTGTTATTTTCTAAAATAACAAAAGTTTGGTATACTAGGGTAAATAAGATAAGTCAACATTCACGATCCTCTTTGGAGACATAGGTGCCTTATGACTCCAACTGCAATGTAAATGCCAGTGTTGAGAATCAAGCTGAATACCATTAAATACTCTTAGCTTCAATGCATTTTTTTTCAGAAAATAAGAATTTAATAGAATTTTCACAAGTGTAAAACAAGTGCCGCTATTGTTTTGGAGTCTAAAAACAATAGCCACACTTCGAAACTACACGTGTACAATTTTAATGAAACTGGCCCCTGAATAACCTCACTTTGTGCTAATTACCATTAAAATTTTTTTATGTAAGAACTTGTTTAGGCTTACATGGGAAAATGCAGATTCTCACTGATGGGTTTTTACTGTATTAACTGCATCTCTGAGAAACTTCAACCTACCAGCATGTCTCTCACGATGAGTAACAACACCAACTCGTCCCATGTTACGGCCACCAACAACCATGGCAAGATTTCCCGTGTCAAACTTGATGAAATCAATGATCTTGCCAGTCTTGATCTCCAACACAACAGTGTCGTGCACAGCAATCAAAGGGTCAGGGTAGCGGATAGTGCGGGCATCATGAGTCACAAGGTATGGGATACCCTTTGCTCCTGTAGCTACACGCCTCACTTGGCCAAGTTTGTACTGAATTATCAACACAAGACATATTTTATTAACATCAACATGACACATGCACAGTTTAAACTACAGTATCAATTACTGGTAAATGTTAGCCTTTTTTAATTAGTAAGGCAGCAAACGGACCTTAAAATAGGTGGCCAACTCCGAAGGGTATGCTACTTTCACCATCACTCACTTACTCACTCACTCAAGCTCTTTATCCTGGCTGGGACATGATGCCGCAACCTTAACCTGACCTGAGCTTTGGCCTGTGCTTCACCCCACATTGGACCCAACTCCTCCAGCTTCACACACAACATATATTCCAATAAATGTAATTTTCTTAATATCTAAAGAACTTTTATAACTTGTCATCGGTCAAATTCTAATCTGAAAAGCATGATGTAAAAAAATGAACCACAAACCAGGAGTTATTATGTTATTGATAAGTTCACAGCACACTACCATTCACAGTACACAGTATTTAATATATTCTTTTGCCAAAGAAACAAAAACCACATCATTATTCATTCAAAATAGTTAGCAGTTTCTGATTGGCTTCAATTCCATATTTAAAACATGATGGTATAGTTGATTGGAAACGTGGTTGATCAATGGTATATTTGCCTGAAGACGAGTCTACTTGGGGGCTGGTGAACTGAAACAAATGGCGCTCACAGCTATTCAAAGATGAACTACCATAAAATTCCAAAAATAAATGTAAGACAGGCATGAACTTTTTCTCACTAGGGAGCATCAGCAGTAATAATTAGAATCAAAGATTATTCATCCTTCAAATTTCTGCTTTTTATTTCACCATCATCTGCTCCATAACAATACAACAAGCTCCTCAATCAATCAATCCACTAACTCTCAAAGTGCAGTCATTAATTCATAACATTTTTCTCACCTTAGCTTCCTCATTAGTGATGCGGTGCACTGTGAAGCGACCTTTCACATCATAGAGCAGGCGGAAGTTCTCACCAGTTTTTTCAATGGAGACGACATCTAAAAGAGGCGGAACAAAATCACTTTATTGACTCTTAACAGATTAACTGTCATCTTTTTATCTTTGTCATGGCACTAGACATAATTTCAACATTTACGCTAATACCCATAATGTGAAGGACACATGTCAGACACAGCCCTGGCACAACCCAAAATGAGCAACATTTGCCCCCTACTCCACACTAGGGTTTAGTAACATTAAATAAAAACCACACAATGTTGGGCCTTTGGTACATGCTGCTCTGATTATCCCACCTACTATTGTTAAAAGTTTTGACTAGGCTGCAGATCTGAGCTTTGTAAACAACCTAGCAAAACTTTAGTCTCTTTGTACTCATGATCCTAAATATGAGCGAACAGGGGGGGAGGAGGGAAGGAGGAAAAAGGGTGAGGTGTTTTGTCCTCAAGGGTGTCTCTTGAGAGGGATTTACCCAGACCCCGGAAATAAGACAAAAACAAGTTTGAAAAATGGCAGAAAAATAAAATGATTTTTTGGGCTTTTTGAGCTTTCATGCAAAGTTATACACATGTATTGAAGAATTACTAACAAAAGTGATGGTCAGGCTTTTTTTGGAGGCTGCAAAAATGAATTCACCAAATACATTTGAGAACCATCCAAGGACAGAATTGCCCAGGAACAAAATCTGGCTGAACATGGATAATTTTGTCAAAAAATATAATTTCCTTGGAAAGCTTGGGGTTCAAAGGGCTATATTCCTGTAATGGACTAAAACCTTTCCAATGCTTAAGTCAAAAGTTGCAGGGAGTCCTTTTCAAAGCCACCAACACCATAACAATAAGCAGGGACTTTAGCAATGTCTATGGGCCATTATTACTTGCTCAAAATAATGATAACAAGGGCCATCATTACTTGTTCAAAATAGTTCCCTATTTCTGATTGGCTTATTAATTGGCTTATTTACTAACATAGGGCTATTGTAAGTATAGAAATTTAATTTTAATGACAAATAGCACAATTTCTTTACCACTGAATTTGGCTTATGAAAATAATGTTGATTGCACAGGTTGTTATCCACTTTAATTTTTAAATACGCTCCATGGAAATTGAGAAACAGATTGCGTTTGATAATAATAACTAAGCCTCTTTTAGGAAGAAATGGGCTACTTTTAAACAATGCCCCTCAGAATATAATTTGACCAATACATGTACAGTTAATTAAAGTGCAAGTGACAAACGGGCAGATGGGTGATGGAGGATCATAAGGCAGGCAGCCTTCTCTTAATTGTTAATACATAAACTATAGTATTTTTGTGGACTTTGTCTTTCCTTTTCTTTTTATTTCTTTTTTGTAAACGATAACAGTTACCTGTAATGAATTGTAAATGTAATGTATTGTAATTGTTTGTGTGTGCGAAATAAAATTTAAAAAACAAAACAAAACAAAAAAATTTTAAATTCGAAAGATAACACCCTCTTTGATCAATATACCTCTTAACACATTGTCTTCGGCAAGGATTTTAGTAAATTGACCATGTAACTTTAAAAAATCATATCTCAGCTGTTATTTCCAGTACCTTATAAAGCTATACCTCATTGGAAAGGGCAAAAATTAAACTTTCAGAAAAAAAATATTTCAGTCTCAGGAAACCCATAATATTCTGCAAAAAAAATTATAAACAAGCATATTTCTGTATAATTATTTTAAAAAATTTTTACGAGTGTAATTTTGCCAGGATAGTTGTCTGTTTTGTGTAATACAGTACACACAATTTTTTTTCTTCAATATCTAAGCAAACAGCCTGAATATCGGTCGAAAATATAGAGCGACTAACAATTTTCTACAAATTTATTTTGTGACCGTATCGGATTATGCAAATGAGGTCAGAGCTAATTAGCATAGCGAAACTAGATACTTTAGCGTCACTTTGTGGCCCGATATTTACCTTCAAAAGACGCTTTATTTTTTAGTTTCTCAGCGAAATATCGAGTTAAAAACAGGCAAACATGAATTCACTGATATAAGTGATCAAAATAAGCAAGGCTTTGAAGGCAAAAAGCTCAGCGGGACGGAACTCACTGCGTTTGAAGAGAATTTGTGCCAGACATTGCCGACTCGGGGAATTGAAGGCAAAGATTCTTACTGTTTTCTTTCCTCGATTTTCGCGTTTGTTTTGCTTGTTATCCTCCAAAATCCTTCAAAACAATCTGCTTGACTTGCATTTGATTGAAATTTGTCGATATAAGCTTTCATTCTACGCAAAAACATCCCAAATACTTCTCACTACGCACCGCCATTTTTCTACATTTTTGAAAAATCGTTGCGTGAAGCTCAAAACTCGCAGGGGGCTGGAACTAGGCACATAATTAGCTAAAGCTATTAACTTCCTGTGGGCCAAATTTGGAGGTAAGCGGAAGTAACGCGATTTTTTGTGATTTTTTTTTTCGTAGTCAATGCCGTGGCATTAATGGCCCTACTCGCTGGAGACAATGAGTTAACATCATATTCATCTAACATCATATTCAATTAACCACTCGCTTATTATTTTCTTATCCGAGTTTTGGCAAGAAAAGTTAAAATGGCTCTTGCGCACCTTACATTACATTGCAAAGTGTCTCAATTATGAACAATGTTCAGTTCTTTGCATTATAATGTTTAAAAAATCTTTTTGGCTGGTTATTCTAGTCAACTTTACTACTGGCAGAACTTGATAATTACCAAGAAACCTGTCTTGTTTGTAATTCAAAAGTAAAGATTGTGGTTCAAGTCAGCTTGTCCGATGGGAACATGCAAAAAATTGACTGTTTCAGAATTAGGATTATGCAATAATTGATACAATGAATTCTCACCCATGAAGCCAGCGGGATAGGTAACATCAGTCCTAATCTTTCCATCAACCTTAATCAATCTTTGTTTAAGAATCTTCTTGACCTCGTCATAGCTCAGAGCATATTTGAGGCGGTTTCTAAGGAAAACAATGAGGGGCAGACACTCTCGCAACTTGTGAGGACCGGTGGATGGACGTGGTGCCTATAACGAAGAGCAAATTGTTTGTCAATATACTGTTGAAACTGCCAATGTATTATAGGAGTTCATTACATGTATCCCTCCTCCTCCAATGCCTGGTTCCTGAAAGGGCAATTAGCGCTAATCCAGGATTAAAATTTTGTTCCATTTTTGTACTTTACCCTCCTATGTACTGCTTAGAGTAACACTTAGTGTTACCATTTCCATTTCTCAAAATGAGGGCTCAACAGAGTTTTGTAAGCTTAGGTTGCATGTTCTTGGGCAAGAAAGCCTTGCTTAAAATTTGGAGTAATCCCAGGTTAAACTTAACCATCTTTCGGGGAACCGGGCCCAGGTTGTTTACCTTTAACAGAAAGTTTCAGGAAAATCTGGTTGGAAAGTAAGTGAAACACAACTTTTTGGGTCATTCCAGCAAAAAATTTTCAGAGCAACAGAACATCTGAAAAAGTTGTGTTTTTCCGAACGATAATTAGTTTCCATTTCTTCAAAGCCATCTTTGATACCCCTTTCAGGCCTTTCAGGCCTTTCAGGCCATTTTTGACAAGTGGAACTGATTTGTACAAATGGTAAGTGCGATTCCAGGATGAAATTTACCAGTCCTGAATTTTGCTTACCATTTGCTCGATCAAACTGTGAACCGAATGGTTTAGAAAGAAGAATGCACTGGAACAGAAACTGATGATAAACCCGACACAGGCTGGTGGCAGAATGAGGCTCAGGGATGAAGGATTAAAATTAAACCCTCATCTACTATCAGTAGAAACTGAGAGTGAGCCTTCTAATACATAACATACATAAAAAACATAAAACTTTATTTATACTCGAATTTTAGAGTAGCTAACAAGCTAATATCTTTGAGCTGACACTAAATAAAAACTATATAGAAAATATATATATATATACATTAAATGCAAGGAAAGAAAATATAATAATTGTGTTATTGGAATCTGCTATCATTCATTTCCCTTACAAGAACAAGAGAACTTTATGGTGATTTCCCGCAAGGTGTACTGTGAGCTGATAGATAACAAGTATATCAGCCAATAAGAATGCAGAATTTACAGTAGAACACTGGCAGATTTTCACGTTATTATCCTTAAAGGGATAACTTCAGAAACCAACACTTTGAGGAAAGGGGCACTTTTGTTATTCAGTCAGTATTTTGAAGTTTTAATAGCCTATGTGAAAATCTTTGGTGAGATTTGTACGAAATGTATGAAATAGTATGAAATTATTGCTGTATCCACAATAAACGTATGGGGCGGTACGAAAATCTTACCCAAATTATAAGCTGATCATGATAAAACAGAATTCGAGTGACCTTGATGTTTCATAAAACATTCCATGAGAAGTCACATTAAACAATTAAATCGACATAGTCCAGCAAAAAAGATTAATAATGACTGGTTTTACCAATAACGGTTAAAAATATATAGAGTAAAAGAAGATATTTTAATGCTTTTACTTACAAAAGTACCAGACAATTTATCAAGCATCCAATGATGCGGAGCATTTAAACGCTTTAAATGCTTCTTCGGACCACGAGCCTACAAAATAACAGGACAGTGCTAAAGTTTAACGTTCAAACTTGCAATTTATTTCATTTTATTCAGAGAAAATTGACCTGATAGTCATAGATGGATTGGATAAAACGCTATACTTCAACTTTTCGATACTAACCATGTTGGCGACGAGAAGGAAAGAGACTGCTTCCCAGGGCTCCTTGCGATTTGGATCGTCCCACAGTGCATTGCTGCCGAGGAAAGGGTAAAATGGCGGACAGATTTGATCGTTTGGAGCGCGAAATTCCTATTTTGGCGTAAGTTTTGGCTCTTTGCATTTTTATTCTTTTTTTAGCCTGGATATTGAATATGGAAAAGAGTACTATGAGATTCAACCAATGCGTGTTTCGGAGTTATGCCAGTTTTGCGGTATTAAGATCGATGTTTTCCAAGCGGTATTTCGGAAATTTAGTTTTAATTCAATTCATGTGCGGTATGATCACTGATCATCAGGGCCATGCGGGTTTTCATGCCTTTGGCTGACAAAATTCGTTGAAAGAAGATTCGTCACGGTATTGCGATACCGTTCATGATCCATGGTCAGATCGTCCCAAGTTAGATCGTTCGATTTTATGGTCAGATCGTTCCACAGTTTTAGTTTAAATACAGATTTGAATCAGCAGCGTTCTATCCAGAAAAGCAGCATCTAGTATAATGCGCACACATCTGTTTTGAACTTTCAAAATCTCAGCCGATAAGCCTGCATTACAGCTTCCCTAAACATACACCCCGTACTCTAGAATAGGTTTAACACTAGCATAAAAAATACATATAATGGGATATTTGACTGGTAGGAATTTTTAATGCGAGCCAGAAGAGCAACATCTTTGAGGAGCTTTTTCTTGAGATTCTCTACGTGGGATGACCAAGACAGGGAGGGGTCGATATCCAGTCCCAAGAGATGTTCATCTTGAGTTTGCTCCAACCTCCTATCGTCCAAACACAGCAAAAGGGCACATTCTTCCCAATGGGACAACTTTTGTTGAGTACCAATATTTTATTATCATGTATTTTGTCTTTTCCGGATGGGCAGCCATGCCATGATCTTTGGTCCATGTCACTGTATTGGAAAGATCCCGTTGAAGTTGTTCCTGAACATTAGTCAGAGTAGAGACACTAGCATAGAAAGTAGCATCATCAGCAAATAGGCCATTTTTATTTTTCCAGGTTAAGGGCAGGTCATTGATAAATAGGAGCAAGAGAGTAGGGCCCAAAATTGAGCCCTGAGGAACTCCAGATCTCAATATTTTAGTATCAGATAAGGTTTCTGCAATGTTGACACACTGTTGACGGTCTGACAAGTAGCTCTTGAGCGACAGTAATGCTGACGAGAAGCAACCATACATTTGTAGTTTGGTTACTAGCAGGTCATGATTTACAGCATCAAAGGCCTTGGGTAGATCTAAAAATATCACGCCAGTGTATAAGCCTTGATCCATTGTCTAGCTCAAGCCAGTCATCAGTCATTTTAATCGTTAAAGACTCATTTGAGTGGTGAGGTTGAAATTTAGATTGTGTTGAAACAATAAGATTAAAGAAACAAAGATACAGTATTAAATTGGTATATATGTGTCTTTGAAGCAGCTTAGAAATAACAGGAAGAACAAATCAGATGAAAATTGTTCGGATTAGAAGTTGGTCCAGATTTGCGAACCAGTGTAACATGTGCTGGTTTGAGGGCAGAGGGGCAGCTACCGAACTGAATGCTACAATTTATGAAGAACCTTAGTGAGACGTTCAAGAATAGCCGGAGAGATAAGCTTTTAGTAAAGGAGCACTTATTCCATTGAGACCAGTGGCAACATTTGTAGGAAATTATTTGATTAATTTATCCAAAGAATTGACATGTCGTGTTAGTTACTGCTGTTCATGTGAAAATAAAACTTGGAGACAATGAGAGGCTTTTACTTGTAAATATGAAATTTTCAACAAAACATTAGTAAAATGTATTAATTTTATAAGACATTATGTTTATCAGGTTAAATGATTTCTATCATTATCTTGGCGATATAGATGGCTTACAGCAAGCCTAAAATTGTGAATTCTGTAGGTTTATGTGTTCATGTTGGATTGACTGCATGTTGTCTCAAGCTGCCAGAGTTAAAATCCTATCTGCCATAGTACTCAAAGAGACATATATACATTTCATGTTCAATGCCAACTTGTGATTTAGAGCTAGTGTTTTGGAAGTGACCTAAAACCTTATTATAAAATTACTCTTGCTTTTCTAGAAATGGCAAATCCTTAACGTTAGGTGGATTTGACTGAATTTAAACCCCTTGGTGATACTTGAAGCTGCTGCCTATAAAAAGGTAACTTTTTATAGATTATTATTTATTTAATTCCCGTTTTGTCTTTGTAACTTGGCTAATCTCACATCCAGTTATCGTTAATTAAGGTTATTACTTACAGTCAAAGCAGGTCAAACATTCCCATCGCTAACAAACTAATGAATTCATTAATGGAAAAATGATTTTGTTTGGTTGATTCAATAATCCATTCAAAAAATAAACAATCCAATATTCATATTCAGCCTCAATTCAATAATTGAATGTTGATTCGATTACTGTTTTTTGAAAAAGTACACTTTCCACATGTCGACCTCAGAATTTTGTTTTTTCTTCTTTTTGACTAAGAGTCGAGTGTGGGCGAGTTCAGAAGTTTAATCCCAAACAAACTGTTACATGTACACCACTTTGCTGCTAGTTATCAGTGCAACAGACCTGAGCTCTTAGAAAACACGATGTTCAAACTGTGGTCAGTGTATGTGCGTTGATTGGTGGATTTTGATCAGGTCAGTTTCTTGGCATCTGCAGTCTGTCTATTCTAGCTGTTATTTTGATTATTAAAAGGCAATGAAAAATGCAATCGTAAACGGTAGGAAAAGGGAAGCAAATACAATTGAACACAACAGGCAAGAATAGAGAACAGGTAGATTTTGTTCATAAACCAAATCAACATTTAATTATTGGATCGAGGTCCAATTTGACTATTGGATTATTCATTTTATAAATGGATTACTGAATCAACAAACCGAATCATTTTTCCATTCATGAATTCATTAGTTCGTTAGGGACGGGAACGCTTGACCTGCTTTGACTGTAATTAACATTTTATTATAGTAACATAAATTTTTACTGCGTAAGGAAGAAATTGCCCTTGAAAAATTACAGACAAATCTACTGGACAACTCAGTCTGTTTTGTAGACACTTGGCTTTGTCGTTTTGGCATGTGTTCACATTAAGTTGGTTTGACTACACTGAACACATTTTTTTCTCTGTTGGCTCATTCACTTGGTTAGCTCCATCTGCTCATACCTGAAAGATCCAGCCTTCACCTAATACTTTAAAAGTTTATGTGCTCTACGGACCACTGTATATTTGACTCTAACCATAGCTGCAATTTTGTTCCTATAACTTGGTTTTTGGAGACAAAAAGACCCCACTTCTTCAGAATTGTCATGAAAGATATTAATCAATGTGGGTAATGTGTATAAAGGGTTTAGTTTCATCATTTGTCTCACAATTGTCACTTTGATATCGATCACGACATTTGGACCGCACACTGCAGGTCTTCATCAGCCAATAGTGTCAATCTGCAGAGTCAAACTATTTGTACCACCATGCTTGTTAGTGACTGGTGTATCAAAATTCAAAATTGTAAAAAGAACAATTATTTTATCGCCAATGGGTTCAAGAAAAATTAACTTTACAGTATAGAGTATAGAGTAAGGTTAATATTACAGGTCAAAATTCAATCCAGGTTAATTTTTTTAACGTAGGTTGATTCCTTGTTAGGAAAGCACATTTCTAGGACTTGATATATCCCAGCCATATTTTTACGTGTTCGCCTGTAAGAAACTCTGTATACGGTGCCTTGTCTTTAAAGCCCAGAGGGTTACTGTGGATTTTAAGTGACAGGGATGATCAAAGGGTTTTTTTGGGTTTGAAATTTTCGATTCCGGGAGTTTTTTGGGTAGGAAAATTTGGCAAGTATTTTTTTAGGGTGGCTTGAGTAAAGTAAGGATTTTTTTTACTATTCACAACAATTTGAAGATTCGTGGTAGGGCCCAACCAAACTTTTTCTTAACGCTCAGAAATTCGGCATGGAAGTTTTTAGGGGTTAATTTTTGGTGCAGGGATATTTTTGGGTTTTGTTTCAGTAGAAGCCCTAGGGATTTTTGGGGGTTTTGAATTTTGGCCCCATTCGTTCATCTCGCGTCGCTCGTATTGGAGAGCACGACACCTGTGCCACTGGTCAGATCTTGCTTGTCGGAAATTGCGCGTTTCCTGACAACTTCTTTATAGAAAGGGCGATAGTTTTCGGACGCGGATCTATCTGATCACCGGCTGTGTTACTATTTTAATCGATTGTTTGTTTTCCCTCTGTACAGAATTTCCTTCCATTTGATTAATCGTGTCGTTCCTAATAATCCAGAAAACAGCATACATGAAAGCAGTTCTGAGTAAAAACATTTACTCTGGAAAAACAAACTCCGGGGGCAAAGTCAAGGCTGAGAAAATCAACTTAATCAGTTTGCTTGCTTGCACCGGAAGATTATTAAATGGCTTTGTTGCATGGAATTCAGCTTTTAATCTTCGATACTTCCACCCTTGTTATTATAACCAACTTTCCTTCACACGTCGCTTGCATATTTTAATTGTGCGCGTTAATTCGGACTCCACGTGGATCGATTAGCGGGTTTTAAGTGCCATGACAGCTGATAAAATATTCAATTAGCTGCCTAAACGTTTCAACAAACATTCCAAGGCAGCCGCGATCTCGGAAACAGACATACGCCTGGTTTAAAAATATCTAAGCCAACTTCGTCAAATTTTTAGAGTCTGCTTGCAAAAATTCCTATTGCGCAATTAAGTATTTTTCAGTAGTTTTGTTTAATTGTTTCTGCGTTAGGATGTTTTCTATTGCAACAGACTCGACTCAAGTTGCATTAGTGAAGTCGTAAGTTGCAACCTTTCAAATGTAAAAAATCAAACAGGAAACTTTCCCATTGCATTTTGTTGTCCATAACGCTCTTTATAAGGTGGTCTGTATGGACAAAATGTTCAGGTGTGGTCTTTCATGTTAAATTTATCAATCTTTGTTTGATGAGGGTCTATATATTTTAAAATATAGTCAAAGTGTAAACACGCAAGGTAGTTTATTTATTGAAATCTGTGGAAGAAACC